GTGTGCTTTATTGGACTGCACATACACACACTACACCACAGCAAAGTAATTCGCAGTAATTTATAAACATGCATTACATGGAAAGACTTTTATTACCATTTTATTCTTTCTATTACCAATTTTTTTTCTTATTTGACTCACCGACTTGCCGATCAAGGCAGCCACGTTCTGCTTTCGTTTCTGGAACAGAAAAATGTTTCGCCGATTAGATTCGTGCATTGAACTTGGATTGAGTGAAGAAGATTGCAATATTAAAAAACATAAACGCACAATATTTTTTACGCTGAGAGAGTTTTTCGGAATGCATTCACACTTACAATATTCCACATTTTCCTTTTTAAATCTCTTAATTAGAACAAATCAGTATTTTTCAAGTGGTGATGTTATTCAGGGAAAAATTCTCCCCATATGTAATTACGACTTAACGCGATCTTTGACTCCATTCAAATTATTTCGATTTCGAGCAAAAGAATTATCAATATTATTGAATTTATAATTACAAATACTAAAGAGAAACTAACCTTCGAGCTAACCCTGCTTGGCCCGAGTCGGATCCTCCGGCGCAGCAACCCCTAAGAGTTGGCTGGTCGTCTGCTTCGTCTCTGCAACATTTAAGCACATTTAATTTAGTATTACACACGACAATGGTGCCATTAAGGAACTTGATTCCAAACAAAAGAATTTCCAGTTTTATAGGATTTCTAATTACGAATTTAAATCAGTGGAACTCACCTTCGCGCCAACTCTGCCAGGCTCGAGCCGGATCCTCCGGCGCGGCATCCCCCAGGCATCACATCCTCTAGAGCCACGCGACTGCGTCTTCTCTATTAGATATCTGTGACAGAAATTTAATTTAATATCAATTAGTGATTTAATAAATTAGTATCAAATAGTTATACGCGACAGCAAGACGGTGAAGAGAAATTGTAACGGCACGTTCGAATTCCTTTCCAATGCGCAATAAAAAATAATTAAATGATAGCCGAGTAAAGAAGTAATAATTCCCTATTAATTATAAGGTGATGATAATAATGTCTGATCGACAACCGTATAATAATGTGCGGTAGTACCAATTAATTACACACGACAGCAAAACGAGGTAAGGAAATCGTAACGGCACGCTCGAGTTGCTTCCCAATACGTAATAAAAATTAAATGATGACATATAAAGAAATAATACTCGAATAATAAATGGATGGTGATAATATTTGATCGGTATTGAGGAACTCGATCGCGACGTTTCTCTATCTAATAAATAAAAAAGTAAATGAAACGCGGTAATTGTCTGCTACGGTAAAGCCCACAACATCTGCTCGCGTGATAAGTATGCGTCTCAAATTGTGTTAATTATTACCTTAATTGTGACGAAGTCAAAATGCGGTATCAAAAATCGGCGCGAAATAATTTAGAAAATAACGCGGCAGCTCCCGCGATGCGCTCGCCTCGGCGGCTGATAGTGTTATGGCGTGACGCGCGCCTGGCCGCGCGCTCTCCCCCCCCTCCCCACTCCCAGCGCCGCTCAGTCAACAGCCCGAGCAGCCGTTACGACAGTCGGTTTACCTAGCCTTTGTGGAGCTTAGAGTTTTTGTTAGAGCCATTATCCAGGTATTGTTATTACCGATTATTTGATCATTATTTCGTTATTATTGTTAACAATGAATAACAATAATTGGACAACGGCGATAATAACTAATTAAAGACGAGGTAAAGAAATTGTCGTAACGGCACGCCCGAGTTACTTTCCTATGCGTAATAGCAATAATTAAATAATAACCGAATAAATTAAAAAGCAATCAAATAAAAAAGTAATAATACTCGAATATTAAATAGATGATAATAATATTTGATCGACATTGAGGAACTCGATCGCGACTTTTCTCTATCTGACAAATAAAAAGGAAACGCGGTAATTACCTGTCACGGTAAAGCCCGCAATACCTGCTCGCGTGAAGAGTACGCGTCTTGAGGTGTCTTAATTATCGTCTTAATTATAGTCAAAACACGGTATTAAAAATCGACGCGGAATAATCTAGAAAATAACGCGGTAACTCCCAACGCGTTCGCCTCGACGGTTGAGAGTGTTATTGTGTAACACTCGAGCACGTGCTCACGCACGCATGTTTACATGACCCGACCGCGCGGCCCCACAAGCGCCGTTTAGTCAGCGGCACGAGCCGGCCGTTACGACAATCTGATTACTTAGCCTTTGTGAAGCCTAGAGTTTTTGTTACAGCCGTTACCTAGATATTGTTATTACCGATTATTCGATCATCATTATTCCGTTATTATCCACTCGCGAATATTATCACACGATTGTCGAGCAGATATTATTATCACTACTATTTAATATTCGAGTATTATTATTTCTTTATTCGATTATTATTTAATTTACTCGGTTATTATTTAATTATTGTTATTACACATAAGAAAGCAACTCGGGCGTGTCGTTACGACGATTTCTTTATGATTTTTTCATCTTTGTTCAGTTATTATAGCCGTTGCGATAAACAGTTGTGTGAGAAACTACACACACACACACACACACACACACACACACACACACACACACACACGCTCTCTGAATATTCGGACGTTGTAAAAAGTATGATAAAAGTACGGTGCCATCTCGAAAAATATCCGTAAACTAATTTTTCGCTCTACTTTATCATAATTGTCAGAAAACTTAACCGCATGTAATCATAAACTTTTCTGCAAACTTTTCGTATCTTTTTTGACATCGAAACTAAATTCTGAAAATGTAATAGTAATCTTTGAAATTTTCCTAATTGAAGTATCCACAGTATCTACGACCTGCAGAATGTTTATATTAAACAAATATTGCACTAACTGACAGCTCAAAATTTAAACATATTTTTTTCGTTTTCGTGACATATTGAGCAATGCTCCAATTTATTTTTGCATGCACTTCTGTTGTGTAAAAGCGTTTGTAATTCTGTGTAAGCAACAAGACGTAAACTTTGC